AATATCCTTTATCAGTGTAAAAACGTCAACAAGACAATACACGACCTTTGTTTTTTCTGACATTGTTGCAAGCATTGGCCTTGGTGATGGAAGTACATGTAACATTCGTAAATGTATAACGTTTTAAAACCACTATTCCCTTTATATGAACATACAATAAATAGTGTCTATCTTTTGCTACAGCATACACAAACGCAGAGAAAGTTTGTTCAGCTTAAACACTCCACAAGGAAATTGTAGGCACATGAGGTTTATCTGCCTGGTTTAAATTCTGTATGTTTAAGAACAACATCCTCACAGAATAAGATTGCAGTTTTTCCTGGAGAAAAATTATTCTGTGTATATCTATCAATACCAAGAGCATACATACACACATTCAGCTGAAATCAATGGTGTTAAACTTTAAAACAATGTCTCAGTGATATCCATAATTTGTTTTGGTGTTCTGTAGTAATTGAGTGGACAGTACCTTATGGGAAAAAACTGATGAATTTTAAATTACAGGTTTATGTGTGTGCGTCTAGAAAAGCTATTATACTAACAGTTCAAGTTTATGAATTATTTTAGCTTTATATTGATAAACTTTTGTTTTAAGTATAAGTTTAGAATAAACAGTTTTGATATACATGAGGAACATCTCAGTGGTAAAAAGCAAAAAAGTAATTAATATTTACAAATAAAACTCAGCCAAGTTCCTTTCGCTAAAGAAATATAACATACATCCTTTACAAATAAGTTACATTTGAAAGAGAAGCTAATTTTGACCTGGAAATTGATCATATGCCTGTAACAAAATACTTGTAATTATTCACCATAAAAGTGCTAGAGATAAGAGTTGGTGTAAGATATTTTATAACACTGAGTTTTGAACACATCATGACATTTCTTTTTAATTGTGTAATTCCTAAAAAGCAGAATAATACTTTTTCTGAATATTCTTCAAAGTACTTCGAAGCAAGTTTTATGAATCAACACAATCTACATGTTCAAAATACATGATAGAAACAAAGCATTTTACCTTTCCAAGTCTTCTATATTATGTAATGAAAATATGGAGATAACTCTAGCATAATCATCAAAATCAGAAACTCTCGTGTTTTAAATAAGCTAATCAAAAATACAGGCAGAAAAATAGCACAGCGTTATCTTCTAAAGCTAAACATCAGCTATGCAAGGATATAATAAAACTATTTCACCAAAAAAAGATACAATCTTTTTGCATTTTTTAGTTAAGAAGTTTTAACTTATAAACTTTATTTTCCCCACATGATTAAAAACAAATTCTCAAAACTGTAACACCATATGAAAAGTTCTGAGATGTTTTGTAACTGTAGACTGGAATATTTGAAAACTTATTAAACAAGCTTTCTTAAATAAAATCAAATGATAGCATATCCTGTAAATCATAAAATGATATTCTTGGGATATATATATAACCAAAATAATGAGTTAAATACTAAAACTTGTATTTAATGCCAGTGTTGTATTTTTTGTTACTCGCAGTAGTTAAAGCTAATAAACAAATATATATATATAGGATGGGAATTATTTCAAAGTTTACACATTTAATATAAGACTTTTTTTTGGATAAACAATTTATTCTATACATGTAATATAATATAATCAAATGCTCGGCACACAGATATAACAAATTACTTTCCACATCATCAGTATTTATAAGACAGAACTGTTAAGGAAAGACAATGGCATCTTTATATTCTTTTAATTAAAACCTCTGTACAGAACTCAACAACTTGGCAACTATTACATCATGTTAACTACAGCTTTCCTAAGTTTTCTGCCTTATCCATATTTTCTGAAAATGTGAAAAGTTATAAACTGTTTGATACTAATACACACTTATAAAAGGACACATCTGCAATATTAACAGAGATTACAAAACAATTCTCACGTGAAATGAAAAACAAACAATGTGGATTATAAAAATTACCACCATACAAGTTTATGAGAGATTCTATTTAATGTTTATTACAATGTTCTCAATCCTTACTCTGATTTATTAACACCATGTGCTCAATTGCATGTTTTATTCTGCTATTCATTGATACATTCTCCAATACAACTTAGTGAATATTCTTCCATAATAACATCTTCCCATCGATGTGTCCTATATTCAAGAAATAACACAATTCCTAAGGCCTGACCTACTGCTTTAAAGTGTATTAAAACTTGTGCTCGTATATTCTTAAAGTGTCTTATGAAAAGGAAAACTTAAACCTATCACAATATATTAAAACAGATTAATTACTGAAAATCCTTACATTTGGAAGTGAGCTTACAAAAACATTTTGAATAGTTTATATGACAAGGTTTTTTATAATGTTTAAAACTAGTTTGCGGTATTCGAATAAGTCTATATTATATGTATTTAAATTTCTTTAAACTTCAGTTTGATTGTAACATTCATTAAAACGTAATTTGGACTGAAGATGCTTAGACATGTTTATAAAGGACAATAATTTTGTTCCTTTAAGTTTTCCTATTTTCCCAAAGTTTTGATTCTATCCCTTAATATTTGCATGAGGTCTGCATGGATCCCACACTAGTTAGTTCAATCCACTGCAAATATGGAAAAACGTTTTGTTAAAAGATTTCAGAGAAACATTTTCTTTGTTCCTTCCCAAGTAATTTCTTTGCAGGGGAAAATAATCTACTTTCAGACTTAATAGCCATTACTATTTGGCTAACCCCATATGATTACTTAAGGGCCACACGTTTATCAAGGGTCTGTATATTACAACGATAGTTCTGGTATTCAGATCGAAATGTGTGACAGATAAACATGCAAAATGTAAATGGGAAAATAAGAATATATTTTATATGTCTACTCTGTTAATTAAAATTTCTGGATTCTGGAGCAATAAATGATTTTATGCAGTTACTTTTAATTTTTCCTACCCCCCCCCCCCAAAAAAAATCACAAATCATTACAGTAATAAATAAGAATATTAGAAAACTCAACTCCATATAGGTAATAACTGTTTTGAAATATGGCATAACAAGTATTTTAATTGGTTAAAATATTAATTCTATATTCCTACTGGTAGCCTTCTAAAAAAAACACCTGTTGACAAAAAACAATGTATATAACCATGTAATCAACTAAAAATTAAAGAGAAACCCCATTGAAGATAGTAACATTAAAGTACATACTATTTAATTGTCGTATGAATCTGACACATTTCACCTAAACTAGAAAATAACACTGAAAGAGCAGTTAAATATTTAATGCCAGAATCTCTAATATAATGCATAGATTTATTCTGACAATTCTATATGATTTAAATCACTGTGACTGGTGTTAGTAATCTTAGGTAATAACTCAGTTACTTAGGTAATTATAAATTCATATTACTCAAAAACTGATGAAACAGTAAAATACATTTATTTTACATGTTAAGAATATACTTGTACAAAACAGTTGATTTTATTTTCCCCCACATGTATCTGTACAAGAACAGTGTCAGCCTAAAAGTGCTGTTGATTTAATTTCTTGGCTCTAGCATTAAAGTTTGATGGTTCTGAATAAAATGGGAAAGATTACAACAAAATGTAGTTGTACTTGAAATTTTCTACATCCTTATTATGTAGCATTAATGATGTGAAATTAAATAAATGCTTAGTTCTCAGTAAAATGTGTCAGACATTTATATTCAAGTACGTAAATATTTCATTTGAATTCAGACATTCATTATAAAAGTTGCTGTTAACTGATGGATATTTCAATTAAATTCATTCTTGCTTTCTGAAGTTTTTACTTGCAAAACAAGGCTTAGCCTCAATGTGGCTAATTTACAACACATTCTGCAACTAAAGATATTTGTAATGAAACAGAGAAAAATGTGATTTCTAGCTTTTGCTTCTAGAACATAGGTGTCTTAACACATTAAACTGCAATTTTATAGGGCTATTAAAAATAATTCAAACTCATAAAAATTCTATACTTTTATGCAAATGAATAATATCAGAGAAGTAAACTGAAGCATTATGGAACCTATTTGATGACTCGTATATTAACATATGTACTGGTAGACTATACAGTTTTGTTTTTTCCTAACTTTTGCACTATAAGCAAGTTAATTTACAACTTCCACTAAACAAATAAATTATAACACTATTGAGTTGGAACAAAGTTTCCATAATTAAGACTGTTGAAATGATTTGGTGCTATTAAACATTAACAGAACCTATTACAACTATCCATTTTTAGGGGCAATTTTAGGCAACCAAACACAACTGAATTTTAGAGAAAAACGAAAAAGAGCAAATTGGGTTTTCTACAAACCTAGCTAAATTTCTTGTAATTTACTCATTAGTAAAATAACAAAACAAACATTCTGACAACTAACTTTCATGAATAAGTCTAGAAACCTTAAAAAACAGCACTACATTCATTTTACAACCACACATAACAGGAAGCACACTTAAAACATCCTTCAACCAGCAGCATCAAACTCATGTCAAGTATAAACTTTCTCTACCAAGACTATGACAACATTATTTGATAAACAAAATTCTTATACATCAAACTTTATAAAACTATTTAGCCACAAACTGCAAGCCTTAATTAAATTAATTAACTCAAAAAACAACAAATGACCAAATCTCAAGTTTAAAAAGAAAACCTAATCAAACACTTCAGAGTTCCAAATAATGTCTTCTCTTTCAAATGCTAATTTACAATTTCTAATTATCAAAATTCAGTACATTCTTCTAATGCATGACTGTACTTACATAAAATGTTTTTATATCACATGTAAAAGATGGTATATAACAAAAATTATATTTTATGTGAATCAATTTATAACAGATTACAAGGCATTACTAGTGTTCTGAAAAGTAGAAGGACACAAACTTTAATGTCAGTATTTGAATTCAATGAACAGAATTTCAGACAAACTTTTAGAAAAGATAGATATTTGGATCTAAGTTATAATTTTTTCTTGGATTCTATGTATATGTACATTCATTTTTAATAGCCTTTTTCAAAGGAAGACAAGTAGAAACTGATAGAAACACCAAGTATCAAGATAGTGAGACTTCAAAGGAAGACAAGTAGAAACTGATAGAAACACCAAGTATCAAGATAGTGAGACTTCAAAGGAAGACAAGTAGAAACTGATAGAAACACCAAGTATCAAGATAGTGAGACTTCAAAGGAAGACAAGTAGAAACTGATAGAAACACTAAGTATCAAGATAGTGAGACTTCAAAGGAAGACAAAGTTTCTATGCATATCTGACATACGTAAACTCTTAAAAGACAGGACCAACGCTATTATACAATAGCAGTCTTTCTACCTTACTCAAGCCTTTAGAATGCTATTCATTGTTCACAATGAAAAATATTGTTTTGGAAAAAGAAATTAAGCTATTTTATAAAAACTATTAAAAGTACTACCCAAAATTGGCTAAAGTAAAAGATACAGGTTGAGTCAAAAGAAAGTTTCAAATGAAGAGTTTCTCTTGATGTAATGATTTAGGTGAGATGAAATCTTCAAAAAGGAAACCAAACACACAAATGAAGATTTAATTAGCCTTTTTTTTAGGTAGTCACACAACTATGCCTGCTGATGTGACCATCAGTAATAGGAACTATTTATCTGATGCTTTCTTTTGCTTCACCCCATACTTGATAAGTTAGATCAATCAGTATGAGACAGAATATATACTACAAACAATTATTTTTGACACACCGATGGTAAAAAAAGTTCTGTTTTCAATTCTGACAGAATATAAAAAATCAGCAGAGATATTTTGGACTTACCTATAAGAGCACACAAACTGTACCTCTTGAGTTACTTGTATTCTTGTTTCATGCAGAGGAATTTAATTTTATAGATTTATCAACCAGGTTTAAATTCCATACCTAACAATGTAGCAACTACATTCAATTCTTTGCCTCTGCTACAAATTGCAAGTAGAAACGTAGCTTTGTCCCCACACTCAGTCACATGACCTAGTGATTAACTGACAAGATTACAGAAAAGATTCTTTCACAACTCTTATAATCTGACATTACCTAATTATACTGCAATAAATATAGTTAGCCAAATATATTAGCTATTTTTGTTTCCCACCAGATTTCTGCCATAAATACCATTTATCTAGTGGTCATTTTCCGCAGATGTGTTTGAAATTACTAAGTAATAGAGAAATTTAATTGGTTTTTACACCAGTAATAAAGTCACAGATATTTTTAATAGGTTTTTACACCAGTAATTAAGTCACAGATATTTTCAGAGAAAAAATTAAACTGTAAAAAAAAGGGAGAGATTAAACAGTTTTTTTAATCATCTCAAACATCTTGTTTTGAATAAGACATGAAGAGAAAATGAGAACCATGATATGCTATAGTAGTGATTTGTTTATTCTTTGTATGTAAATCAGGCTTGTATGTCAGCTATGTTAGTTTCATCTACTGCATACTGAATCAGATGGACTTGAGAAAGAAAACTTTGTTTGTATTTTTAATTTCTGTAACAACATTGTTAATGACTTTACTTTCATGTGGGAAGGACCTATAGCTAAGCATAAAACTGTATTCTTAAAATGTCCTGGGATATCTTACAATAGGTCATTAATTTTGTTACCAACATGAACTGTTTACAGACAAGACTTGAATGGCATGACTAGTAAAAATATCAAATAATAAAGGTATATTCTGTTCAGAATAAAGCTTAGAATGAAGTCTTTTTTTTAAATTTACATATCTATAATGAAGTTTCTAAATTTCTCATCACAATACAGATATGAATCATTAAGTCTATATGAAAATTATTACTAACATTTAGTAAATGGTGTTTCAAGGCACTTGGTATGAGCTACAAAAACATATTTACACATTTTAACTCCTGTTGAGGACAACCAGAAACTCATCAATTTTGCTACAAAAAATTTAAAGTCTCACTAGCTAAGGTAGTAAGTATTTTTCTTTAGGAGGGGAGGGGGGGTCTAGAGTTGTATCTCAGTGCTTGCTGGAAAATAACACTTTTCAGCTTAATGCAGACAAAACTTGTTAAAGTTTGTGGGAAAATTAAATTAAAATATTCAAATCACAACTTCACAGATTTTCTGATAAATTAAACCTTTTTAACAATTAGATCTTCCAAAAGATCTCGAGGTCATGATTTTTTTTATGTGATTTGTCTGCTTCTATGTATTTTCTATCTATAAAACACTTGTGTACAAATAACAATTACTAAAAACAAAAACACGCTTCTCATATCTGCTTTTAAATAATGTTTTTGCACAAATAACAGCTACTGGTATTTAAATGCCACCAACGCACATATAGAAACAACAACACTTGATCTGTAATTTTCAAATAATGTTCATTTTAAAAATTTAAGCTATTAAATTGTGCTGAGGGGTTTATATGAATTTGTTAATTAAGGACTTGATATTAAAAAATGTAAATAAAGTTTGACCCCATTTTATTTTTCTAGCTGAAAAATGCGGATCATTTATACTTTCTGAGATTACACTTGATATTTACTGATTAACTTGTTTAAATTATGAGCATTTTATTTATTTTTAAACAAATGCACACACCATGGGATTCCTGATGTATTCTACATGTTTTGGAATGAGCTTCCTTATAGAGGTGAAAATAAAAACTAATTTTCATAGTTTAAGATGCCAGCTGCCTCCTAAACTGTATACCGGAATATAAGACATTTAAGCAAACACACAAAAACTGCAAACTTACCAGAGCTTTAAAAACCAAACTCGATTATGAATATCGTGAGTATCATGAAAAGATTACAAACACACAGAACAGAATGTGTGTTCTGAGCAACATGATTTCATCCTGAATTTTGCGTGTTCAGATCTCTACTGTACATTTATATATATAAAAAAAACAAAAAAAAACACAATCTTCAATTTAATATAAACATGATAAAGGCAGTTAACTTTAAGTATACAATATGTACAAGTAATATCTAGTTCTGGGCTTGGGAGTGGATTCCTATTTAGATATAACATTACTTAACAGTACCCATGTGATAACATGTACATAAAATTATTGCTTTTCTATTCTACTCATACTATGCACACACACCCCCCCTCCTTGCACAAGGAATCCAGAGTAATAGAAATGCAATACACAATAACTCAGCTAAATACATGTGATTGTTTTTTTTTCCATAACTCAAGAACATGATTTCCATTAACAGAACATAGTATCTTATATATATCTATGATAAAAAGTGGCTCTGCTTCTCTGGTAGATAGCACCGCAGCCCTAACAGCGAACAATATTATGCTTCTGTGACATCCTTGACAATTACCAGACAAAGATAGTAGAAAAGCAGGATTTAACATTCAAAAATAATCTTAGTTGTAGTTTCCTTACATCACAAACAATCCATACCAAATAAAACAAATATGACACAAAAATATTCTATCAGCTTCTATCTATTCACTTTGCATCAGTGAATTGCATCGTATGAGTTATTCACAAGATTAGAGAAACTAGCAGCTCATGGGACCTATCTGTCGGATAACGCATTCTCTGCAACATCATTGCTAGGTTGGAAGATGTATCTTTTACTAGTGGCAATTTTCACAAAATTCAACAAAGCATGGGCTCCTTCAGCAAGAGTCTGTTCATCTTCAGTATCAGTTGATTTAATTTTCATCCGTTTCCTAGACAAACCATTTAAAGGCCTTTTTTCTGCACAGTCACTACGGATCCTTGCCTTCCGGTTCAACGTCCCTCTAGTGGGTTCTTGGCTACTTTCACTGCTACTGTCAGAACTCTCATCCTCCACGTCACTGCCATCCGAGATATCAATTCTGAGAGAAGCTGGTGACACACTAGAGGGTCGATTCTCACCATAAGATGCAAGAGAGGCACTGTAGTTGTGGTCTTCACTGGGACTATTTGTAACCACTGGTGTCTCATTGTGATGGTACTTCGACTGGATACCACTGATTACATTTCTGCATATTTAAAAATTGTGATATATCAGTAAGTAAAAAACACTGTTAATTACTACTGAAATCAATGCTTAAAGGTTCATGTTCAACATGTGTGCATGTAACTTAAAAACTTTTTATTCAAATTGCATGTTAATCTTTTCTGTAGAAGTAATGCTCAAGCCTTATTAATATTAACAAATCATTACATTTAAGTCTCCAATAGTCAGAAAATAAAATATTATTAAAAACTTTACACAGAAACCTAACTAACACTAATGCCTCTGCTAATGAAAGACAATGATTGAAGTTCATGTTCTGTTCTTTTCTTTATATTTTCACACTTGAATATGTCGTGTTAACATACTCATATTCTGGTTAAGAGCTGGTTTTCTTAGCTAAATAGCAGGAGAGTCTAGTATTTTAAGATGAAATTCTTCTCAGGAATGAAGAAGGTTGTGTTAAAAACTGGAGGTAAGAACATCATATTCAGTTAGACAGTGATTGGTAATACTACTTATGTTATAGGTTTGAGCATCACAGTATTCTTTAATTGGAATGCGGTGCCTTCTAATGGTTGATCCAATGTATTCCTGGTTACATCTCTAGCACAGGAACTCGTATACCACTAGCAAGGTATTCAGGGGATATTGTTTGTCTTTAAATTTGTAGAGCCCGTTTTTTAACCTAGATGATAACATAATCTTGTCGAAACATTATACATTTATAAAGAAGTTTTCTTCATTACCCATTCAAGCCATCTCCAAACTTTTATAACCTAGAGTCTGTTTCAAAGAAACATTTTAACTGAATGTGTGAATATATTTGTTTGATAATTTTTCTTAATTTTATTCTCAATTATATGTGAAATAGTGCCTAAGTATGGTATGACTAACAGTTTTCTTTGAAACATCTAACAAATGAGTTATTGAACTTTTCATTATGGGTCTTTGTTGTCTATCTTAGGAACAACAATGGTAAACACTTTTCTCTAAGCATTTGCTTAATTTTTCTCAACTTCTTCAAAAAAGTGTTTAATTTCCTGTTATCCTAAAGACTTTGTATAACAGCTTTAATCAGAATTTCTTTAAAAATTGATGGAGTAAAACTTTCAAAATGTGAAATAAAGTCCAGTGACACTGAGTTTATGATACACTAAAGTGACAGTGGGTTTATGATACACTTTAGTGTAAATTACACCATACTTATTTAAGAACAAGGTTCGTTATTCTGTTGATTTTCAGCAGTAAACTTTATAGCTGATGTTTACCATTTAAAAACTGAAGAAATTAATTAACCAACTGAACACTGTTAAATAACACAAGTGTTGTCAACATATCTCCTGTGAAACATAGGCTTGAAATGTTCAGGACAGGACTGAATCCAACTTTTTTGAGGGAAGCACAGAGAAAGGTTATCAAAGTCATGAGCAAGGCTGAAGCCCATAACCACTCTATCAATCTGTTCATAAATTTTACTGTTAAACATAAAATGTGATTTTGTTGCAATAAGTAAAAGTGACTTAAAACTATTATTACAGTGACTCAATATCAATGAAAATCATCAGTAAACTGTGTTTGTTTAAAGCTATTGATAAATTCAAGTATATTTAACACAATCAGTCTTTCTAATCATTGATAATTGGTTCCTACAGAAACAACTTGTCTAACTGAACGTCCATTTGTGAGCCTTAGAGATTCCAGACAAAACCCACATTGTGAGCCCACTGGTCTAATTATTTTGTAAGTTCATTCACGTTATGATGCTGTCTTTTTTAAACTTTAAAAAGTATCTCATAATTTCAGCTTCCCTGCCTGCTGTTGGGTCACTCATAATTTCTATAAAGTTATCTGTTTTAGTTAGAATAGCTTCCACTTTGTTGATGTAATCCACTTTATTTAAAATCACAGTTTAGAGGCCTGGGTTTCATTCTTGCTTAAATTACTTTCTGTTCTTTAGGTCTAAAATCTTGAAGGCATCTTTTTCCAATTTTGACAGATGGACAAGTGTTATACAAAAGTTTCAAAACCTACTCTTCAGTAACTTTCATAAGAGGAACAGAAAGTAATAATGCCCTGGTTCAGAGTATCTTCTCAATACCAAACAAATGACAGTCTGATAAATTATAAATAACGTTACCTGGGTTGTTCAAAAAATGTGTACTCAAGTTTATGTTTATATAACTGTTTAACTCTAATTTCAGTTAAACACTTATTATTACAGTTGAAATTTTTAACTTCCAAATATCCTAGGCCTAGGGGGCTAACCCTATTTGTCAGTTGTTTTAGAATTTCTTCAAATTGTATCTTTCGAATTTGAAACAATTCTTAATCAGATGAGCATGCTACCACTAAACATTCAATTGTGAAAATGTAAAAAAAATAACAGAACATGAGTATCGATCATTGAATATGAGGTGTACTAAAAACATGACAAAAATTCTGACAAAGTAACATTGATACCGTTACTGACAAATATATGTAAGAGGACGCAAACAACATACACTGACACTTCTGCTATAAACTGGTATAAATGATATTAACATATCAACAGTGATATCTTTGTTAGCAGAAATAAAAACATGGTGTTCATACGTCTGCATTGATGTTCCTTGGAATAAAGATGTTTTAAAGACAGCTAATACAACAATGCTGACATTCTCTAACAAACTGAGAATAATGGTGTTCATTTCACTATACTATGATGTTAAGTATGATCAAAAATTAAGTAAATCAAATGAAAAGATACACCAACATTCTTCATAATAAACTGATCAAGTTGGTGCTAACACACCAATATTCCTGGTAATAAACTGATCAAGTTGGTGCTAACATACCAATATTCCTGGTAATAAACTGATCAAATCTGTACTAACACAGCAACACTAATACTCCCAGTAATAAACTGCTAAAGGTGGTGCTAACGCACCATATTCCTAGTAATAAACTGATCAAGCTGGTGCTACCACCTCAATACTAATACTTCTAGTTATAAATTGATAAAGATGGTGCTAATACGTTAACACTGATATTACTAGTTACGTGTACAGAGTTAATGATATACCAGTTAAAAATCAGGTTTTGAACCTGATATTTTTCCAACATACATGTAATAATGATCATGTACTTCTAAGATATACAAAAAAGACAAGTCTTTATTAACACAACAAATTTGTTAATTCCCAAGTTCATAATTTTGATTAACAACACAACAGATAGTTGTGCCTTAGCAACAAACAATGCAGAAAAAATAAAAACCTTTGTAGGGCAAAAAATATTTGAAGTTGCACCTTTAAAGAACTTCAATGACAAGTTTACTTATGAATGAAACTACATAAAAAAATTTTTTAAATAATCCTAACCATTAATCATGTTATATCACTACAATACATATTTGATTTTTGCACTTAACAATGAATATTAAACACTGTTTGAATCTTTCTTATCCACAGTAATAGTCATACAAAAAATAAATAATCAATGTCACCCCAATTCAATGTTATTTAAACCAAAGTATATTCATTTACTTTCAAAGTTTATTTGCAATAAAATTGAGAAGAAAAAAAAGATAAATTTATGATAAACTTATCATAAATTTATGAGGTTACCACACCGACAACAGAATTCTTTACAATATAAACTATCATTTACTAATTTTTGATCAACAATAACATTATTGGACTATTACATGATGTTTCTAATTTTTTTCATAAAAATGTTTTGCAAAAATTGTAAGTTGTATAAAATTATTATAATTCATACTGTTTTTAATGGTGAAATATGCTTTTCAAAGTACTAAGCAGTTTTATTTTCTCTTATAAGTATAAGGTCATAATCACTTGAGTTAGTCACATGTTCAGGTTTGAATTACACTGCGCAGATTGTAAATTCATACAGTGATGCACGCTCGCACACATGCAAACACGGAGAGTTATTCCCTGCAAAACATAAATTATAAAATTCAAAATTCTATGTTAGAGAAAAAATTGAAGCAATGGAAATTTACAAATCTAAAGAAACAAAAATAAAATATTCTGAGAGACATAAATGTTTGTTTTTTGTTTGTTTTGTTTTTTGAATTTCACGCAAAGCTACACGAGGGCCATCTGCACTAGCCGTCCCTAATTTAGCAGTGTAAGACTAGAGGGAAGGCAGCTAGTCATCACCACCCACCGCCAACTCTTGGGCTACTCTTTTACCAACGAATAGTGGGATTGACTGTCACATTATAACCCTCCCACGGCTGAAAGGGGAGCATGTTTGGTGGGACGGGGATTTGAACCCGCGACTCTCAGATTGTGAGTCGAGCTCCCTAACTACCTGGCCATGCCAGGCCCTAGAGAGAGACATAAATGAGTATATATTTTCGGGTCTTTAATACATTAACACATGTATAAAATCTCCAAACAACACCCAGGCAGTGTAGCATTTCTGGTAACAGTACTTTGTTCAACCTGTTTCTTTCAACAATAATTATGTTTGAATTATTATATTAGAGTTAAGAAGATTATTAGTGTACATATGAAAATTTTTAAATTTGAAAGTGTTAGTGTATTGTTGTTAGTGTGTGCTTTACTTTCTTATTCAGATTATTGTGAGGAATCGGAAAATACGATCTCACCAAATGGACGGAAACAAAGGCGGCAACGCTTGAGGATCAGGTTAGCTTAAACCTTATTCATCTCTTCTTTTATTAATAAAATAACTATGTGAGTAAATCATCTGCATACTGCTGACTTATTTGGTTAAATTACATACATACATATGGTATTCTATGTTTTAAATATCCAGACAAAATACATCAAAATGGCAGTGACATAAACCTTGTTTCAACTATCCCTTCTTAGTGTGTCTTGAACAGGATCTCATTCCTGATTTGTGTAACCATCTCAGTGTGGATACATTCTACTTACTAGTTTAACATTTGAAAAGTCATTTACTTGATCATTTCAACTATCTATATACACACATACACATTTCATAAGTAGTTTATATAAAACAACAAATTCAAGCAATTTTATAATTATTACATTCTATATATTTAATAAGAAAAATTATGAGATCAAATAAAACATATTAAGAATTCTTAATTTACTGCATCATGACTAGGGCCTCTTATGCTACAGTAAATGTTTGGATTGCAGGTTTAATTATGAAATTTCACTACATTTTTATGCACTTGACAGCAAACAATTGCCCTGCTAGTCTATACAAATATATTTCACGAGTTTCTGTTAAAATGGATTGCTTTCATCATTATTAGGATTAAATAGTTTGTGTTTTTTTGTTGCATCAGGAAGACTAACTTGGATGTTCTTTTGCATCAAATTGTTAAAAACTGATATGATTCCAGAGAATTCATAACACATTAAGACAGCAGCTTATATACACCTATGTATTAATGTATTTATTTATTAATAAAAAGAAATAAAAAATGAAGTTTGTTAAATGGTGAATCAAGGAATATTTCAAAATGCCAATATTAATTCAGTTTAATAATTAACAAATACAACTTAGCACAGATAAGATTATTCAGTTGGAAGAATGCCTTTGAAACCCAATATTAATTCAGTTTAATAATTAACAAATACAACTTAGCACTGATAAGATTATTCAGTTGGAAGAATGCCTTTGAAACCCAATATTAATTCAGTTTAATAATTAACAAATACAACTTAGCACAGATAAGATTATTCAGTTGGAAGAATGCCTTTGAAAGTCCGTTTCATAATTTTAATACTATATGGACTGTACAGACAAACACATACCATTAAAAAATTACACTTACTATGCATACTCCGTACAGAAGGACCATTTTTCAATGCCAACATAGTGGCCGCAGCATCTACCTCAGGATCTAATAAATAATACAAGTAGTACTACTGTTTTTAACCTAGCAAGTAAATGTACAAAATGTATTTTGAAAATACACACGTAAATGCTATTTAAATCATATCACATTTAATTTTTTCTTCTTAAAAATGGTTAAAAATTAAACCAACATATTACTTTCAACCATTACATGAACAACAAAAGCTCAAATTTAGCTAAGTTCTTAACACCCATGTAAATTATTCTATTTTATTATAACATTTCTAATAAAAACCAAATTGTTTTAATAAAAAGATGTTCACCTGACATGGATAAATTAGTTTAATTAATTGAAAAATTTAAAACAAATACAATGCAACAGGTGTTCTAAAAACAAGAATGAAACACTATTATTAGCATTTGAATGATAAGAAAATACATATTTAATTTATTGTACAAACTTTATCATGAATTATTGTTACCGCACGTATTTTTCTGAATACTCACCCTTAATGAAACAGTTTTTTCTTTTGCTGGTTTATTTGTTTAACATTTGTCATTTTTACATAGATACCTAAACCTGCAAGGTTTTCATACTGATAGCAGTAATCACAGGTAGTATTTTGGATCAAAATATGTGTTTGTGTGTGGTACGTAGAACCATTCTATGGTAGATCATAGATTAAGCTCTGTAGAACCATTCTGTGGTAGATCATAGATTAAGCTCCGTAGAACCATTCTATGGTAGATCATAGATTAAGCTCCGTAGAACCATTCTACGGTAGATCATAGATTAAGCACCGTAGAACCATTCTATGGTAGATCATAGATTAAGCACTTTTGTAAATATCTTCATCCCATTAAAGTTAATGTCATTTCAGTTGTGTACACACACTTTTCATAATGCTTTATCATTCCCCTTTTATTCACCCGGTGTTTAAATTACTGCTGTCTGTGGGTTTAGGGGGGGTGAGCAAGAGGGACCACTTTTTTCTGTGGGATATAGTATACATATGACATTCATAATAATCAAGTCAGAATTTTTTGTCGTGCTTAATCTATGATCTACCATAGAATGGTTCTACGTGTGCTTAATCTATGATCTACCATAGAATGGTTCTACGGAGCTTAATCTATGATCTACCATAGAATGGTTCTACGGTACTTAATCTATGATCTACCATAGAATGGTTCTACGGTACTTAATCTATGATCTACCATAGAATGGTTCTACGGTACTTAATCTATGATCTACCATAGAATGGTTCTACGATGCTTAATCTATGATCTACCATAGAATGGTTCTACGGAGCTTAATCTATGATCTACCATAGAATGGTTCTACGGAGCTTAATCTATGATCTACCATAGAATGGTTTTACAGATACATGTATGTGGAACTATGAAATGAAACATTTAAAAGAAGTAAGAAATATTATGTTAGGTGGTCAAGAAGCTTATTGAAATATAAATCTTCATTGGAATTCAAACAAGTTCAAAATTATACACATCATTTATTTATGATTCTGCAGAAGTGTTTCTCTCATTGAACATCTTCAATAACCCCACCACATTTATTTAGAATCAAATGTCATTATACGGGTCTTTACTTTTCTCCCCTTAGTTACTCATTTTGTGTTCAAATATCCATGAAACTTAGAACTACAGCCTAAAAATTAATAACAGTGACAAGAAAAATAAACTAACAATTTTGTTTTTAGTGTGAACTTCGAATTTAAATGTCAACCATCAATCTTAAAAATTTATCATCTGTTGTCAGATGTTAAATTACTAATTTTTAACTTCAATATCAGTCACTGGCACCATTTACAGTACAATGTGCATTTGCTGGTGACTTCAAAAAACCAAAAACAAATATTTTTTTTTATATTTACATTTATCCTTCTTTAAAAAGAGCATACAGAAATTAACAGATAATACAATATATACTGATGAATTTCAGGCTTCTTAAAATATTGAAAACTATATTTTTTTGAACAAATACTCTTTATATTATTCACTATTATTACTAATTCACCCATCTGTTTTAACATGGGCATTTGATTATTTCTATCTCTTTTGTAACAAACATTATCATTATTAGTATTCCTAACGATGCAAAAATCAATTTCTCAATTAATCTAAGGAAAGAAAAAAAAACAATTATTTTTGAAGAGTAACCAGATTAGCTAGTATCCATAAAAACTAAAAATATCACATTTTATATCACTCAAAAATTCTTGATTTATACTAATATTTGGAGAAAGCTTCATTTTAACCATAAATTCGGAGTATTTAACAAATAATGGATAAGCTTAAAAGTTTATATTGGTCCCTCTTGAGAGGTAGTTTACAATTTCTAGTAACTTATTAAATCTCCCTTGTGCTTAAGAAATATTTCTAAGATTTCATAATATTTTCAAAAACTTTTTACGTTATTTATTTCAAGGGCCTATAAAATGTAAAAGTTGGGAAACTTTTTAATGTTTGTATCAAATGTATAATACTTCCAGATACAACTGCTAATAAGATCAATTAAACTTTAAGAATGATTAGTTTTATGAAGAAACAAAACAGCCGTTTCAAGCATATGGTGTTTTATGTGTCAGCTTGGATGAACAAGTTCCTTAATGCACTCAAACATTGAGTGATTATCTTGCCAGATGATGGCTATGTACTATTTTAAGTGCAATTTTTTCATGTATAAACAGGAATGCTCCAAGAAACAGAAAGGTACAAGTAAAAAAATGATTATAACAATACAAATCATTGATGGTATTAATAAGCAACAAACCTATTTCTTTCACAGTTTCTGGGAACAAAGTATGAAATACAAACCACTTCATTTCTATTAAACTTTTCCTACTTCTGATTTTTAGAATCAACATAATATTAAAAACAAAAAATACTGACTAACCTACCTTTCACAGTGGAAGCATTTAATCTTTTGGACAAATATGGGAAGAGCTCTGTGATGAGAAACACAAGATTTAAAAATCCCCAACAGTAAAAATGTAAATGGATAAAACAATTTCCACACAACTAACAAAATTACCTATAAACTTTATACATTACATTGAGTATTGTATGTATTTCCACACAACTAACAAAATTACCTTTAACACTTTATACATTACATTGAGTACTGTATGTATTTCCACACAACTAACTAAATTACCTATAACACTTTATACATTGCATTGAGTACTGTATGTATTTCCACACAACTAACAAAATTACCTATAACACTTTATACATTACATTGAGTACTGTATGTATTTCCACACAACTAACTAAATTACCTATAACACTTTATACATTACATTGAGTACTGTATGTATTTCCACACAACTAACAAAATTACCTATAACACTTTATACATTACATTGAGTACTGTATGTCATTTTTTAAGTTTGTCTTTCATTCTCATCTTGAAGCAAGCATTGTGTTATGTACCAGTTAAAACTGAAATGTAAGCAACAATAATACACTTAAAACTCTCTGTAGTCTAGATACTTTTTATTGATCTTCAGTAAGTTAAACTCTCTCATTTCTCCACATTCTTTTCACATACAAATATTTCCTGTCCTTCTCAGCTTCCATGACACAATGGTTTCAAAATAAATCAAAATATACTATTCACTTTACTCTTTTCTTTCTTAACTATTTTTCTTTAATAATTTATAATTTAAATATCAGTTATTGCCACCACCTACAGCATGACACATTTGCTTATAGCTATAAAAAAAAGCAAACAAAAATAATTTTACATCTGTACAAAAAAATGAACATACAATAAAATCATATGTTCACCAAAACTCTTATGTTCTAATAATACAACTAAACTTGACAAGTAATGTTAGTTTTAGTAATAATCATACTGTTTTAAAGAAATATTTACATTTGGCAAGCAGTTGAAAAATCAATCTTTTACTTCACAAAACTATGACAGGTTTGATAAAAAAAAAGTTACAAATTCATTTTGACCAATCAATTTAACCTTTTCTTAAATAAAAGAGCTTAATAACATAAGGATCAAACAAGTTTAGCTGATGATGAAGAGGTCACTCAGTTAAGCCAGATTAAAAGATAGAGAGAAGTAAAATGTTTTACAGCCAATGACACTTTATCCAGTTTTAACTTTGTGATAGTTTTATTTATACTACTCAGTTATTGTAATTAACTGTGTTACTATGAAACACAGTTTCTACTAAAGAATTTTAAACACAAATACATAATATATTCTGGAAAAAAAAGAAGGCTTTTGAAGATACTTATAAAATATGAAAATGTTTCGTAAACATGTTTCTTTTAAACTTTTGTTTCTGAATTGGACAATATTTTCGGCATACATCAGGACCGTTGTGAACGTGTGCTTTGTTTTGAAGTATAGCAGTGTTAACAGTAATTTTCTCACCAGCTCATCTTTCAATTTAAGAAAGAAGTATAATTGTATTTATTTCTATATTTACATAATTGACTTCTTTTAATGTAAAAACTATTCTGGAAGCATAAAAAAAAAACTTACACAGGAAACAAATACAATTATTATGTAGAAATACTTCAATAGTGTTGTGTATAGTCTTTTATAACGTTTACTGTTATTCATGAACTGTGTTGTAGCTTCTTGTTTACCCTTCAACTTTGAAAGAATTCCTTAAAAATAATATTAATATACAAGGTAATTCTCCTACAGTGACCCTTTTTTTTTCACATTTATTGCCTAATGTAATCTCTAAGTTTTTCTAATATCAATATTATCATATCGCATTCAAAGAATCTTTAAATTGATTAATAAAATCTATTTGGTTTTCCAGTGCAAAATTAAAGGATTATACCCGCATATAGGATTCTTGTTATTTTTTGTTATTATGTTCAGAAAAATGCTTATTGTTTGGTAAGGGTCTAGGTCATAGGTATTTTAAAGAAGATAATTATGTTAATGTTTCAATGTGCTGAAAGCACAGGACTGAGTTTCAGCTTTAAGTTGTGGCTTGGAGCTGTAACTGTGAGGCTCATATCAGACAACAAATTTCAGATGGCACAGGTAAAACTATTATATCTGGGACATTCGGTTAACATTAACACTTCTGTTACTTTATCTGGGACATTCGGTTTACATTAACACTTCTGTTATTTTACCTGGGACACTCAGTTTACATTAATGCGCTAATGTAAGCTGAATGTCCCAGATAAAATAACAGAAATGTTAATGTAAACTGAGTGTCCCAGGTAAAATAACAGAAGTGTTAATGTAAACTGAATGTCCTAGATAGAATAACCGAAGTGTTAATGTAAACCGAGTGTCCCAGATAAAATAATAGAAGTGTCAATGTGTTATTTTATCTGGGACATTCAGCTTACATTAGCGCTTGTTATTTTATCTGGGACATTCGGTTTACATTCAGAGTTATTTCCAGTGCAGCATATTTTCAGATGATAAGAACAATGCTTGTGTGTCAAGAATCAGTTTTCCAACACGATATGTTTTTGTACTTTAAAAGTAACATGGATATGGGTACGATATTAAACTTACCAGGGGAAGGCAGGTTGATATTTGATTGAGTTGGAGCCAAAGGTAGTGGCTTGTCACTGTGAACAAAACAAAAGAAAAAAATCAAGGATTCAATATCATAATAACAAAACTTCATGAACTAAAGTTAGTTTGCTATAGCTTCACAACCTAAACTTAGAACAACATAACTTCAACACTTACACCTGAAGCAACACAGCTTCAATACTTACACCTGGAGCAACACAGCTTCAAGACTTATACCTGAAGCAACATAGTTTCAATACCTACACCTGGAGCAACACAGCTTCAAGACTTACACCTGAAGCAACATAGTTTCAATACCTACACCTGGAGTAACACAGCTTCAATACCTACACCTGGAGCAACATAGTTTCAATACCTACACCTGGAGCAACATAGTTTCAATACCTACACCTGGAGCAACATAGTTTCAATACCTACACCTGGAGTAACACAGCTTCAAGACTTATACCTGAAGCAACACAGCTTCAACACCTACACCTGGAGCAACACAGTTTCAAGACTTATACCTGAAGCAACAGAGCTTCAATACCTACACCTGGAGCAACACAGCTTAAGACTTATACCTGAAGCAACACAGCTTCAATACCTACACCTGGAGCAATACAGCTTCAAGACTTATACCTGAAGCAACACAGCTTCAATACCTACACCTGGAGCAACACAGCTTCAAGACTTATACCTGAAGCAACACAGCTTCAATACTTACACCTGGAGCAACACAGCTACAATACCTACACCTGGAGCAACACAGCTTCAATACCTACACCTGGAGCAACACAGCTTCAATACCTACACCTGGAGCAACACAGCTTCAAGACTTATACCTGAAGCAACATAGCTTCAATACCTACACCTGGAGCAACACAGCTTCAATACCTACACCTAGAGCAACACAGCTTCAATACCCACACCTAGAGCAACACAGCTTCAATACCTACACCTAAAGCAACACAACTCGAGGCCTACACCTAGAGCAACACAACTTTTTGAACTTTACATAAATCAACAGAACTCCCTGGGCTACACTTACAGCAACATAGTTTCATAAGCTACAGTTAGAATAACATAACTTCACAAATTAGGCTTGAACAACTTAACTTTATGACCTACAACTACAATATCACCCTATACTAAACTTACAACAACATTTACTTAGAGTTAAAACATCCTAAGCTGTATTTATACAGGCTAGGATACATCACATGATCAGCATCCCAGAACTACAAGTTGCCAAAGAGCAAGCATAATGCAGAAAAAAAAACCAGCTTGATGGGCAACGTATGTATGTATGTATCACACCCACAGACAGTTGGTGATCTGTTGCTAAGTTTTTCTAACAGTTCACTTCTTTGAACTTATGCCTACATACTAAAAATATCAATAAAACAACATTTGGACAGTCTTAACATTTGTGAGAAGTATTAAGGTCATTCAAAAACATAATTAGCATCAGAATATCATTTGGTTGTCAATGGGTCCTCGCAAGTCATCTTCCATGTATGGTTGATGGATTTGGGAAAGCGAGTAAAAAAGGGAAGATAAAATTGACCTTAGAGCACTGTGCAATAACCATCTGCAAAGGAAATTGCACTGTATAGTAGAAGTCCACAGCCAGCACCATCACTGATAGAAAAAGGGGAAACTACGGCCTATCCACTCATCCTTGTATCATTGCAAACGATGGTGAATACCCTATGTAAACTGTTGTAAATTAACCTTCTGTAACTACAGTGTAAAAAAAACCCATGCTGAGTTTCAAAACTAAAGTAAATACAGAAAATTCAAAAGGTTAAATTGATAGTATTTTGATACTGCTAAACAAATTACCTTAAATTATTGGTACAGTGCACATAAGATTAGCAAGCTTGTGTTTGAATGTAGCTTGAAAAACACAATACACAAAACAATAATGAAACTTTTTTCTTGAATAACAAAGAACAATGAAGTTTACAAAACATAATATTTATGCTAGCTTTAAAACTGTCATTACTGAAATATTAATGATTAAATGTTTCATACTATTTTCTAATTGTACACTGCAAGTTGTCAGTGACACATTTAACTATCAGTTTAGAGACAGTTACTTGTGGCATACAGGTTGTTCCATTGTACATTAGTTCTGTAATTTTCTACTGAACTTTAAAAATAAATAAATGGACTTTTACCTCTTTACTTTGAGCTCCTGTCATTATTCTTATTTGTCATGATTTCAAGAATTAGTAAAATACAAACTAGTGTTTAATAAAATACATGTAATGCCCATTTAAACCACAAATATTTATTATTGCAAAAACAACAAATGTGACTGAAACATTTAGCAAAATATTGTTACAAGGCAATATCTTCAATGTTTTAATTTTGACGTTAGCTAAAGACTGCATGACATTAAGATCAAGTAAGTTTGTGGGAGTAGGCCTAGAAAGTCCTAAACTTGAAGTCATGAAAATCTTAAGTCTGTGGGAGTAGGCCTATAAAGTTCTCAGCCTGAAGCCATGAAAATGTATTAAATTCAGGGAGTATAGAGAGACAAGGCTAGATTATAAATACGAGAATCAGGCTTTGCTTTCAGCAAGTAGTGAAGTGCAAGTAAGTATAAAGTCAGTGTGCTTTACTTTCAGATGGTATAGCCAGCAGTGAGTCAGTTAGTTTAGTTTCACAAAGCATAAGAGTCAGTAATATCTATCCTAGGTATCTAGTTGCTGAATTCAATTAGCAGTGAAACTGTACACGTAAATATATTTTTACATTAGTCATACTACCATTTAACAGGGTATTCCCATTTGAACATTACTTGTAAACTTAAGATTACAAGTTGTTGGAACATTAAGGAAGAAAAACTAACTTATTATAAGTACATGGACTGAATTTCGAACTATCTTCACTAAATAATTTTTAAAAAAACACCCAAAGAAAAACATTACAAGAATATCTTTGTTTTTTTTATGAAAATAAATAATTGTGGTTTCACTGGTGTATTATTTTATTTAATTAAATACCTCAAGATATACAAGTAAACCAATCAAACAAACTGAAATATCAATATAGAAATAGTGCCAATGGCACAAAAACAAAATGTCTTTAACAAATGTTTACCCCTTGTTTTTGTTAACTTAACTTCTGTTTCAATTCTATACTTTGTAGTGGTTTTTAGCAAACTATTTTTCATGAAAAACATTATACTGCAAGCTGATCATATAGATATATTATGTACATTCATGGTTCTTTATATAACTTTCCTTTTGTATAACATTACTTTGGTATTTGGTGGAAGTGAAAAATTTTACTTTTCTAACTTTATACAATTTATAATAATTTTGTATGTAAAGTTTCGTTATTATGAAAAATAAAAATTTAAGAATGTTTTGTATATGTCCATGATAATCATGACTGCATGAAAGTATTGGGACTTGACTTACCAGTTATTATCTGCATCTGACCGCATAATGTAGTCCAAACTTGGCATATGTGAAAATGAAGAAGATGGGGATTTCCTCAAGGCCTGAAGCAAGTTAGGCCGGAACTGGGGATCAATACACCAGAGGGAGCCTTTCCCTATATTCTAAAAAATGTTTAATCATGATGGTGAGAAAATAATGTGTATTGTTTATACTGTTGATTGTAGATCATATTTACTTCAACTTCTCCTACTTAATCATTTTTACATTATTGTGAACTGTATATTAACAGAGACAACTATAAAACTATGTTATGTGTGGTGAGAAGGAAATACAAAAGATGTGTACACAAAATTGTACACCTTAAAATAAAGATATAGAATGAATAATAATCACTAGTAAAGATGCTAATAGCCATAAAAAAATAAGAATCATATTTTTTAAACTGAAGAAAATAACGAAAAACAAACAGGAAATACAACTATCATACATTAAAACTCCAAAAAGAAACTTTTGCCACAGAGAATCAGTCTACAATACAAATATGTTTACACTCCTACTATAGACTGCTTACAGCTTTTAACAAAATCTTTAAAGTTCACATATTTTAATGTACTAGATTTATTATATTCTGTTTCTATTACGATTTAAATCAGTACCCTATCACCTGTACCTTATTCCATAAGAACTGGTACTGTAAACAGATAATCAAACTATATATATATAAATTAATTAATCCGAGTGACCAATAAGACAAGTTGAATATAAAACTTAAAAGTTATTAAAAATAAGAAGAAAGTTATTATGAAATAAAGGTATTGGCTCAGCCTGTAACCAATCAATCATGGTTCAGACATTTATCTTTTCAGGTGATTCCATCTCAATAAACATACAACTTGGAATCTATTTCTTGAGTAGCTAACTGACTTAACACTTGTCAAAATCTCAAGATAATACATTGGACTTATTGTATATGAAACATTAAAATGTTTGGTCTATCTCTAATGGATCAGAGACATTATTAAACTTAAATTCAGATTTACATAAACCCATACACTATTCAACCCACCTGGCCTTTGATCTTTTCAACTTTACTGAAACACTTGTTCAGAGACAAGTTATGACGGACCGAGTTCTTCCACCCTGTAGGGGCATGTTGGAAGTATGGAAAGTGAGAGAGAATCCAAGAGTAAATATCTTTGACTGCAAGTGCTTTGACAGGAGAATCCTCAATGGCCATGAAAATAAGGCAACTGAAGGAGTAGGGAGGCTTGGCATTTATATGAACCTGAGGATTGTAGGGTTCACTGAAGGTAGACTTGTTAGAGAATGGGTTTCCTGTTGAGACATCTACTTTATCACTTCCTTCCTCTGCAGCATCTTCAAAGAGATCGCTGGCTCGACTGTCATGCAAGACTTCTTCTGCTTCACCACAGGTACCCATTTGAATATTTCTTAATAAATTCGTGTCCTGCAACCATGTGAGATTAGTTAACTCATCATCTTCAAAATCCCCCTTTTCACTGGGACTGCTATTACCATTGACTTTACTATGTCCATTAGACATCTCAATAATGCTTGCAGTTCCATTAGCAATGTTAAACCTCAGAGGTGAGGAAACACCATTCTGGTTATAAATTTGAAATGACTGTTTAGTAGCCATGGTCACAAAGATCTTCCTTTCCTTCATCAAAGACTCAGTGATGGCCATACACAAGTGCAGAACTGATAAAAACAGAAAGAAAAAAATCTCACAATTCTAAACGTATTTAAGATATAAGAAGTGAACAAGAATCAATTTATGTACATAGTTATGATAAGAAATAAAAACCTCTAGTCTATCTTTGCCAAAACAGTTACGAACTTTGTTTATCTTCACCAATAAAGTACATAGTTTACTATTGATAACACTGTCAGAAACAACCATAGACTTTCATTAAGTCACCGAAACATTCAAAAGAACATTTATTAGATAATATGTACGAGTCACTGTTTAGTTTTATTGTAATTATACTCAAGTTACTTTTTAAATTAATAACCCTAAAAAGATTAGCTCTATTTGGTGATATTTATTGAAGAGAATAACGAAGTTATCAAATTTATATTTGAAAAATTTTATTGTTTATTATTGTACAAGTGTAAAATAGAAAAGGTGTTTAAAAATTAAGGTTGTGAAATACTGTGAAAACAACCTATTATCATAACATTATTTCCTTTGCCAAAACTGATTAGGAAATATAACCTCTTTTCTTTGATAAGCATGTATGTTACAACACAGATTAAAAACATAGTTACAACTGAATGAAAAACCACATATACTGGTCTTGAAATATCATTCAAGTTTATCATCACCCGTTTTACTAGAAATAACAAAAAAAACACTGAAGCAAATATGACTATTTATAAACAGTGTCAACCAGTAGTTACTGCATACTATATTTTTACACACAGATCACTGTATTTTTTGTTTTACTATATCCTATACACTTGCCCACAAAATATTTAGTATCAGGAGTGGTATCATCTATCATTTCTCACATAGAACTAAGGTTTTGAGGTTAAAATGAAATTTGATTGGGATAAGAAAAAAAAATGAAAGTTTACTTTATTTGATTTTTTTTTGTCTCTTATAGTTTAAGGTCAGCCAGTATACTTGTAAGCCATGAATTTTTACACCCAGGTGGCTGGCTCAGATGACAACCATATAGGACAAGCATGTTTGTGGCCAGGGATTCACATTTGTGAGCTGAGCACCCTAATACTAGGTCATGCCAGGTTTTACTCAGCATGTTTACAAAAAGTAGCTTTCTGAACATTGTATGCTTGTATCAAGCTCATATCAGGTGTTTAGGAACCCATATGAATGACAAAGCAAATTTCAACTGAAATAGTTTTACATTTTTAAGTTGTAGGTACAAATTTAAAGAAATACAAATACTGATCAGTGAGATTCAGGTTCGTTTTTAATTAAACATTTAAAAAAAGATGTTAATTTTGATGGAATTTGGCTGTAACTGAATGTCTAACAGATTGTTTTAATTTCATTCTTGGGCTTAAGTTGTCAAGCCCCATCTACACAGGTGGAGGTGTCCAATGGTCATTTTGACTGAAATATATCTATTGGCTGGGGGCTACCTATGCCTCCAACAGCTAAGGGGTTGTGCATCTTTTCAGATGCGTTTTGAGCCATTTTGGACAACTTTCAGAATCAGATTTTAACTTGACTTTGTAGAAAAAAATAAATTTTAAAACCACTCGCAACTTGTCACGTTAACAGACAGACCAACTGATAATCACACAAGGCAAGTTAAATTCTTTAAACTTTAATACTCAATCATTTTACATACATGTCCCAATTAAGTTTTTAAAAGCCTCAGTTGTATACATTAAAAAACATATCACTGAATTAACCAATTACAACCTTTTCCTTGTACAATTTAAATCAGGTTTTGTAATTATGCCTTAGAAAGTTTATTTTGACAGATTTCAGTCTATAGATGGAGAATTTTCACCCATGCATCTATGTGAACTTTTTTTTTTATTAAATAAAGAGAAACCCTATTTTTCATTAATATAACATATTCTTACACCATACAAATATAGTATTCTAATATGATAGTGGTAATAAAGGCATTCTGAAATAAATATTAGCTAGAATGAACAACGTCAATTTATATTACAATGATTTTTTTTTTTTACTTAATTTAGTTTAAACTTCTTTAGGCTGACTACCTATAAAAATAACTTTAAAATTTCAGAAAATGTGCTTGAAATGCAGTAAGAATAATTGCTTAAATATTCATTAAATATCACCTTCCTCTAAATAATGAGAAATTACAAAAAATAAATATTTGCCTTTTCATTATTAAAAAAAGGGAACATGAAGAAGTTTCAATGTAACAGAAAAACAAGAACTGAGAGTAGTTTTATTCGGAACATAGTTTCAATATAACAGAAAAACATGAGTTGAGAGTAGTTTTATTAGGAACATAAAGTTTCAATATAACAGAAAAACATGAGTTGAGAGTAGTTTTTTCTAATTTTTTCTGAATATTTTCATTTTGTAAACTACAAAATTGTGAGTACCATCCAATTTTTTTGTTTTGTTTTAATTGAAACTGGCACTTTTGTGAACTAATATGTTAGGATGGTTATGGTTTAATAGTTGTATTACATAAAAAAACTGTATAAATATAAAATAAGATCATGCTCACTTGTTTTTCTCTAGTAATTATTTATATTTAAAAATGAATGGAGTGAAACACTGAACTGTTCTTCTGTAAGAGACATTGATAAAAAAAACTTGGAATACTACTAGTTCACGAGTAACCATGACATAATTTGTTCTCCACATTTATAAATCTTTATTCCTATAAGTAGGCAGAATATAGACTTATAAGACCTTAAGTAAAAATATTGTAGAAATATGTCATCCACACTATATCTGCTATATCCAATGCTAATGAGGTTTTTCGATCAATACCAGGGTTCATCAGGAATATGACAGACGTAGTAGTGATTGAAATGCTATCAATTACTTGAATAACTGTTTCAATGTGAAATTGATAAAATTGATGAACTGTAATTTTTATCAATGCCTTTTCTATACAAATCAAATAGAAATTATGTCACACTTATGTTGCTATTTTGGGGGAATTAGCTTATTTAAGAGATGTTACTGAACTAAAAGAGGCAACATTCATTTGATTAAAACACGAGTTATATAAATCCATCCAAAACTGCTTGGACAAAAACAATAAATCTGCTTTAGCTCAACTAGTAGGTGATATCTTGGCATTATTCACATTGCATCATTTTATTCGTCTGCTGTAAAACTTAATTTACTTTCAGCTTAACTCCTAATTTACCACATACATTTTGATCAGAACAGCACCGTGATGATTCTTAGGTGAGTTAGAAACAAAACTACAAACTTCGTGTGGCTCTAGAGTCAAAAGTAGGTAAAACTTGTGAATAAACTTTTACAGACCAGTTCTAGAGGGGCATATTGTTCAGGATGAAGAAAACATTTGTCATTTTTAATTCTGCATAATGAGCAAAGTATGTAAATAGAAAATACTACAGTAGTTTTCTTTCTTATTTTCCTATTTATTTACTATCATTTGCTGGATCGTTTTGGATTCTCTGATAAAAATAAAGTCCTGTCCACGTAACAATAACAAATTAACATATTTCTTCAATAACGTTTGCTAAAGGCTGTGTTCACTTGTAGACCTAATTTCACAAACAACATTTCAACAGAAAGTCAGAGATTACTGGTACACCCAACTCACAAGTAAATTTACTTGCAGCCAAATAGATGCAATAATAACTTTCATTGTTTCACTCACTGAATAACTCACAGATTACTTATTAATTCACTGTTTCTCCAATATTTATATTGTTACTCATTTTAAACTTACTACACCAAATTCATATCAAAATCCTTATTATAATAATAATATCATCATCATCATTACTGTAGCAACAGGATGAAAAAGTTGAATAACAATCAGTAGCAGAGATGGAAGTTTTTACGGAATATCGGTCTGTCATCGTCATTAACTAATGTTGAGTTCTCTCTAGTAAACAAAAGTCTAAATTAAAATATTAAAAATATAGCTTCCAACACTATATACATATTAAAAGTCTGTTATGAGGTGTACCACACACAAACATATTTGATTAATTTATTGGAAGTCTGTTTCAAAGAATTCTAACTTGTATAGACAGTTTTTCTGAAGCTGGACAGCATTTTAATAATATACTATATTCTACGAAGAAAATTGTAAAATAATATTATAATAGATTTAAAATAATCTATTGCAGATGAATGATTAGTATTATACTTATAAATATTGGTGTAATGATAACACAGTGTATTTAAACACTTATTACTTGGTTAATAATGATTTGCAAAGTATCAGAATACCAATTCGTCTTGAAGTATTACTACACTGGCGCTGCTTCAGTGCTAGTAATATTTGTTCATCTCACTAATGGAACTCTTTTTTTTAAGTTTCACTTATTTCAATACTTTGTGAATATAAAGTTGTTATTGTAAAAAGTTGTTGCTGTAACTGAATAAAACTAATGATAATTTCATATTTATTCTGTTTTTCTTACTTTTATTATTGTCAACATGTTTTTGTTTTGTTGAAAATCGCGTACCTCTACATTATTTCACTCGTTTCTGACTGACGGTCATGGTCTATCTTTATCCATGGGAATTCAGTTTGTTATTCATATCACGCATATCCCGGCATATTTCCTTTTATCGTACTTCCCCCCCCCCTTTTAACAGCTTTAAATTGTTGCGAGATTGATATTTGTTTTCTGTGAAGCATTTTCTAAAGAAGGTACAAAGCGCCATCTCTTTGAACTCCAGAACTTTACTATAATCGTCTTTTTGACATCCTCACTCGTAGATATGTGTAAACGAGAGGACTTCTGTATTCCCTATTATATTTTGACAATCATGTAACTATAATGTAATGTAACGGTGCTTATCATTTTGGCCATTATCTGGTTTGTCAGAGTCATGCTCAATAAAATAATTTTTATCTGTGTTGTAACCAAAAGTATAACAGGAAGAGAACAAAATTATTTATCTGAACGTTACTTCAACTCCTTTAATTTTAATCGTGGCATAAGGATTTTGTTCGTAGTTAAGCACAAAGCTGCACAATGGGCTATCTGTGCTCTGCCCACCACGGGTATCGAAA